TCAACCAAGCTGGTCTTCACCTGCAACTTAAGAACAAAGAGTTGCTCCCTGAGATCTTCGTCTTCATTAGCGGTCTGCTTTCCTGCCATACGATTAAGACTGTTATTGAGCTCTATCATCCCGGGAACTTCTTTCGGACCCTGTGCTATCACGTATGCCTTTTTCTCCTCCTCCAAACCCTTCGGCTTCAGATGAGTATACTTCTCCCAACACCGATCAGTCACGTGCCCTGTCTTCTTGCAGTGATTGCGGGTCAATCCGAACTTTCCTGGATCACTCTTCTTTTTCTCTTCCTTAGGTTGAGAACCAATAGACTTGTCTCTGCTTGTTTGGAATCTCCCTTTGTCTCGTTGCCCTTCTTCTGTTTGCCCTCAATGGCAATAGCTTTCACACTCGCTTCTACAATGGACTCGAATATGAACAGTTTCATCTCCTTCCAGATGTATTCATTTAGACATGTCATATACTTCATGAAGATGGAGTAATCCATTGCGATGTTGAGGACCATCGCCTGCTATTGGAACTCCGTTGTGTATCCTTGAACGGTCTGGTTGAATATTTAGCGTAATCCGTATCACTTGTACCAACGCTCCTCAAAGAATCCCACCGGGTAAAATTACGTCTCATGTAGCTCCTTGAACTTGTTCCACGACATCGTCTTCTTCTCCTGCTTACAGTAAGATTTTCACCACGTCAACGCATGTCCTGAAAGCTTCAAAGTCATTAACACAATTTTCTCCTTGGACGAATAGTCATAAAGAGTAAAATACGTCTCCATCCGCTCGATCCAGTCATCAAGCCTCTCGATGTTAACACTCCCCTCATAAACAGGGATTTCTATCCTGAAGTCAATCTTCAGATTCTGGTAAGGACCCTTACCCCCTTGGTGCGGAACAGTCTTGACCGTCTCTGTCTCCTCGTCGGAATCAGAATTCACGCTCTCTCCATCGGATTCCACAGGTTTCTTCTTAAATTTCAAAGAAAATTCGTCCTTTTTGTCCCCTCTATGGATGAGATCGACGAGTTATGTGAGAGTCGACCCTATCGTCTCGATCTGCTTCTCTAATGCATCAAGTCTCGATGAGTTGTCACTTTCAGTCATCTTCTTCTTCCTTAATTTCTAGACCTCTTCCAAAAAAAATAAGGATCACTTCTAGTTTCATATATTGCGATCGAGTAAGGACCATATACAGGATACCCCCTTCACAGGATCTGATTTTTTATTGCTGTGATGTCACTAATACCAACTTGATACAAATCGTTGTGCGAGTACCTTTGATCGCGGAATTATCAAAGGTGGTTGAGAAGAAGACAATAGAAAACACAAGACAATTCAGTTTTAGCGAAGGAAAAATATCTTCTCTAGATTATGAGTATCAATTGTTTTACAAATCTCTCTCACAATCTCTCTAGAATAGAGAACAATCCTCTCTAATCTCCTTAAAAATCTAATCTGATGTTTAGAAACATTAAACAATCCTTATTTATATGTCTAATAACGTGAATGGCAAATCTCGTAAATAACCAAACCTAATAGAACTTGGAATACGCGTCAATCAGGAATCCCGAATCACCCAGGAACCCGATCCGGTCGACCGGTATGTGTGGCGCGGTCGATCGACCAAAGAACTCATTTTAGACTCTGCAGCGTGCACGTTTTCGGTCGACCGACATTGGTCGGTCGGTCGACCGATATGGCCTTGTCGGTCTATCGGTCGACCGATGTCAACCATTCGGTCGATCGGCCAAAGCCTATTCTTCTATTTCCTGATTTCTTCTGTTTTCCCTACTTTTGACCTTTTTCGCCGCCACCAACGGCTCCACTCACGCCTATATTCTCAAGCTACCATGAGAATTATCTATCATCAAGCTCCCATGAGGATCACTATGCTCCTGAAGCAAGAAAGAAGATACACCCGTATCACAAAGAGATCACTATTTTACTATAAAATCCTCATTGTGATGGATACATTTGTGTCAACAATTGTATAACAGTGGATGCTTATATATGGTATGTGTTGTTAAGGCCATGAATAGCGTTCCTATCAACTATAACAGGGGTGTCTGTGTCAGTTGTCATAATATAGAAGATTATGAACTCAGCTACATTTCTTATGCTCAATTTTCTCCTTGCATATTTCCTCTTCATGTCATACAACTATTTAGGAGAGAGATGCTAAAGATTGAGAGAATTTATTGATAATACAGTTCTATCAAACGCTTCAGCGCTCGATATTTTCTCAAAACTGAGCAAAACCGTTAGGGTATGGAGTTATGTAAATGACCCATGGATCAAGCATTTGTACCCTCGCACCAGACCAAACATGTATACATTCACGGAAGAAGCGCCCAAGTTCTGGATCTCTACCATGCAAGACCTCATCTAGTAATTCCCTAATACAATAAGCACTTACTAGCAATTTTAGGTTTGTGCATTAAAATAATGTGTCGGCTCGGAGATGGGATTTGAATCCTCTTTTTTTTTGGACCTGCTCACGTTTTGAGTACGTGCATATGGGTAGGGGTGGTAAATGATCGAATCAAATCGAATACTAAGGTGTTCATATTTGTATTTGTTTAAAATTATCGAATTCGAATGCGGACTCTAATATTCATATATCTAGTTTTTCGAATTCGAACTCGAATACTTGGTATTTGATAAATATTCATGAATATTCACGAATACTTATCGAATATCAAAGTATATTTATTTTGCTAAAGAGTTTGATTTTCAAATAGTATTAAAATTCATAAATAAAAATTATTTCTTTATAATATATGATGTATATATATTTAAATCAAAATTTTAATTAGAAAACAGATTTAAGATTATTTAAGTCTTAAAATCTATATATAAAACTTAAGTAGAAATGGTAAGTGGGTTAAAAATATGACATCATATGTGCAATAATACAAATAATAAGCCGTGATCAAATTTTAAACGAATATTTAATAGACAAACGAATCGAATATACATCTGATTAAATTCTATTCGTTAATAAACTCGAATACTAAAAAATATTTGTTTAGTGATAAATGAACTATCGAATCGAATATGACCGAATAGTTATTCGAACAATTATCGAACCATTTATTAATTATTTGGTTCATTTCCACCCCTACATATGGGTGCATGGGTTTGTTTGTCGGTATGGGCGAACTTCAATCAGAACTTAGTCCAAACCTAAGGCAGTCCCGAAGTTAGCAGTTTTGGTTATCTATCATGTATTCATGTATGGATCAGAATAGGGTCGATCTGTCTAACACACTTTGAATCATTGACTCCATCACTTCATGTATATTTGTTGTACTGCAATGCACTAGTACACTGTTAACAATGTTTCAGTTAATTGAGTACACACAACATTTTAGTTTAATTCTTCCCTGACGCAAACAACTCGGTTAATTTGATTATTATGCAGGTCTAGTACAAATTTACTACAAGGATCGGATCGAATTTAAGTCTACCCTGACACAAACTAACTTCACCACATCCCCACCCTTAGCTGTTGGGAGAATGCTTTCATTCAAATAACTTGAGACCATCTACCAAACTGACATGGGGTGATAATAAAAAGAGTTTTTTCTAGTTAGCACGATATCAAGAGAAACTATGCCAAAACTCCACAAGGGTGCACGAATCAAAAAAAGCAGGATGAGACCATCTGGGATTCTTGCTCATGGCATATGGAGTACTAGAAGTTTAGAACCTAAACTTATCTAAAATTTACAGAAGAACCACACGTAGCAAAGTAACATTCCACACAGTGGTGATGAAGTTGCCTATAAAATCCCATATCACCTCGTGATGTATTTGCCTGGTGAACCACTGTGGGAAGGGAGTACGTAAAGACCAAATGCAATTAGTCAACTGGAATTTCCTTGGTAAGGTGCTTGAACGAGATCAATAACAATTCAAGATTGTATTTTTAAGGAGAAACCAAAACTCCACAGCTAAGCATGCCTAGATGGGAGTGTACTAAGACCAGTGACCTCTCAAAACATAACACGTAGGTAAGTAAAATATGAGAAAGCAAGAACCAACACAATTTGCTGCACTTTTGCATTTATCAGCTTCTACGGGAAGTATAACTGGAATTTCCAATTAAGCAACACATCTTTCATCTAATTTGTAACATGTATCTCAAATTTTGATGGTACCTATAGGATGCTCCGCCCTTCTTGGTATTACACATGGAATCCTGAAGAGAGTTAATTGTGCTCATCCTTGTTATCTTTCAAAATCTGACTTGAACTTTCTTACATCGAATATTGTGTCGTTTCCACAGATGAAAAGTTATCCTGTCCCTTTCATTTATTGTCCTCTTATATGGTTGCAGTTTGGCATCTTTGTTTTGTTTGAACCTTTATATGCTTATTAGTAGAGTCGTATTCTATAAATTGCTAGTTAACTGGAGGAAACTGCCACACGCCGGCACTCTAAACTTCATGATTAACTAACAAATACAACCGGCCACAAAGATATAAATCCATGAAATGAAACATTAATCTAGGGGAACACCCAGCATGCACTTACATTTAATCAGATCAACCTACAGTAATGATGCCAAGATAATAAAATAACCATAAGAAAACAAAATTCCCTACGTCGTAAATACACTGAAAAAACTAGCATGTTCCAACCGAATCCCAACAAAACCTTCCAAATTACACATTACAGATCTCAGGATTATTTGGGCTGGATCAACAACAAATTTAAATTTATGAGCCTTCGACTTCAGAGACCCTAGGACATCTACACAGGCCCAGTCTCTTTATCAGCAATCAGAATATTATGTACCAGCTCAAATATCGGTTTAAAGATGTTTGAAATTTATAAACATACAGGTTTTTTGTTTTCAATAACTAAAAAGCAAGTGGTTGGTCTAGCACATAGTATGATGGGCTTCAGCAATAAATAAATTATTAAAAAAAGCAGTATAAATATTTTCATTACAAGAATAGTGGTGTCAATGTTAAGTCACTAAACTCAAACATACCTTATCACTGTTTAATCCAGCGTCCTCAAAGGCTGAGAAAGCATCAGCTGATAAAACCTCTGCCCACTGCAAAAGTTACAGAGTAAAATACAAATCCTACAATGATAACTAAGAAAAATATTCACAATGCACAATAATACAAATAGATCATGATAAGGGTAAAAGTTATGTCAAAACATAACAATGAGCAACAGTATCCTTCAAAGTGCACCATCAATTCAGAGCAGTGTTTTAAATATCGGCCGACAAACCAATATTATCGGCGATTTATCGGTTTTGGGGAGCCTTCTGCTATGATAAGTTTGATTTTAAATTACTTATTGTTTTTTGATGTTTATCAGTGATAATGCGGCAATAGAGTATCGACCGATATTGTCGGCTCAAAATATCAAAATTATCGACCTTTGGTTTGGGTTTGGGTTTGCTCTTTGGATGTTTAAAATTATAAACTATTTATTGCTTTTGGAACTTGGTTGTTTGGTTATTACTTTATATTTGTTTATGAATATTGACATGGTTCATAACTATTAAATCTCAACTTAGTAAGTTAGTTTATAATTCTCGTGATTACACAATAATTATGTTGATGATTCTTCATTCTTTACGTTACCTTGTTATTTGCTTGTATGTTATTCCATTTTTACTAACTATGCACTCGAATGTTTCCATCGTGCGAAAGAGAATCAAGTTTCTACCATTGGTTAGTGATCCTAAACGTGATTATTTATATTTTGGTATGTTTATATTTCATTGGTTAGTAATATCACTCCGATAAATACTACTTACCCCCGATATATCCCTGATATCCACGATTCCATATGGATTTTGACCGTCCAATAAATCTCCGATAACCGATATTCAAAACCTTGACTCAAAGCATCCAAATATGAACACCAGAAACATGGAGACCTATATGTTTCTAACTAATAACAAAGCTCCAGCGTATTAACCATAGGGATTAAGAAAAGTACTCTACAATCATCTAAATACTCATTTGAACCCTGATATGCTTCATTATTAGTGGTCAGCTACATACACACTGTTAATAAACCTTTTTCAGGTGCTCCTGATTGCAAGATTCTTAATAGATCTATGAGCCCGAGGTAATGATTAAAGGGGCCGTGCTACACTAGCCAGCTTCTTTGAGACCTCTTTTCTGCAAGGAAGAAAAAATTATGAGACTAAGAGGCCCCACTTCAAGTTAGGGACCAGCAATTAAGCTACAGATATTCATCTGTATGGTATTAGCAAAGAAGTTGAGCTTTAACTGTAGCCAATTCTGAGGAGGAGCATGAACATATAAGATGTTAAGTGTAACCCCATTCGAAGTAGGTAACAATTGAAAAACCAAACGGAAACGAATGAGTAGAGACTAATCTTTGATGAACCATCCGCCAGCTAACATGTAGGAAGACAGACGATCCAAAATGCTTGCTTCTTCAACTTGATAACATTACTTGGTGCATGGCAATTTTTACAAGCTGAAGTACCAACCTCATTCAGCCTTATCAGTCCATTTCTGCTCATTTTTAACCAGTAATATTCAATACCTAAAAGATTTTTCAGAAGAACATGCAACATCTTTTAGGTTTTCCTCTCCGTGTTAATACAACTCTTATTACCTTGTTTTTATTCGGTTTAATCCTACAGGTCCACTTGTACTTGTGACCCAAACACAAGCTTGTGCAAATTCCCACAATTGTAAGTACTGGTATGATATGATTCCGACCCATGCTAAAAGAATCCACGTCAGTATGTCTTTTTTCATATATTTTTTCCTTTTTTTATCTTCACTTGCTATTTAGAGCATCATTAAATTGAGGAGACATCTTGAAAACAATAAGAAAGCCTAAAGTAGATAAAATAGGCACAAGAATAAGGCCTACCTTTCTGAGTAAAAAAAGGATTTCCATGAGAATAGTGGTTAAGGTTAGATTTAGTGTTTATATATGGAAAAGTTTGCATACACCAGCCATGTTCCAACAAACATTGCAACAAAACTTTTCTTTCTTCGTTTTTGTTGAAAGAATTATTGCTAAGCAGACAAATGCAACTGGGGGTGAAGTCACATCACGTATAGGAGAAAGAGGGGAACTTACTCAATTTAAGCACTAACATTACCATTCTTTTCCAGACATTCGTAAGTCGTAACTATTAGCTAAAAACTCTTAACTGAAGATTAATAAAGGATCAGGCTCTAAATGATCTCTCCTTCATCTCACAGGGTATGCAACGTATATCACAGGCAATATCTCATGGCTTTCCAGCTCAGAATTTAACCAGAACTAATATTTTGCAAATAAGATGCTAACAATAAACATAATCCAGAAAGACAGTTATTTGCAAGTCTTGCAGGGGGTGTTATTTTAATTCCAAAAGCAGTAAAACTTATAAGTGGCTTTCCATTTTAACTTCTTCATTGCTTATGATGAAGAGTGATGAAAATAAAGTAAAAAAGGAAACACATCTAAGAGAAAAAATTAAATGGCACCAGAAACTTGCTGCTTTAAAATAATTGGTAGCAACCTTTAATTACTTTGATAACAAAGAAAGATGATACAAACGACTGAACAGAAATGTGAGGAGAAAAAAACATGAAAACATCACACCCCAAAAAGGTAACAGATATAAGTGAAAAGGGTTCAGATGATTGAAGTACCTTATAACTATAGTATCCAGCAGCATATCCACCTATCAACAGAGAACAAACAAGATTGCCAATGTAATGCCGAGAATTCAGTAGAAGGATATATAATTAAACACTATATTAAATAAACAATATATAACACTTATAATAATATAAAATATATATATATATATATATAGTTATATAATATATAATATAATATATATAATTTACTATATATTAATATATATCAATATATTATATATATATAAATGCATATGAATCAACGAAGAAAGGAGGCACAGAAATAAAACCTGCAAATATATGGCTGAAACTACAAAGGAACCTGTCCTCTGGCAGAGGAGGAATAACTTGTGTCCGCTTCCCTACCCTCTGATCAATGTCATATACAGATTCTGGTCCATCTGGAATATATTTTGTGTGAAGTTCTAAATCAATGCTAGCAAACCGTATCTGTAAAAAGAGTAAGCAATCAGAGATAAATCTAACAATGAAAAATTATTTTTCAAATTGATAACAGCAGTAGTTTTTCATGACAAAAGTAAATTATCTAGAAGATTTTCCCAATCTACAGTAAAGATTCGAGTTTTTTAGATATTAGTCCCTAAAATCTTCAATAATCCCACATCATATCTTTGAAATTGTTCATAAATCCCTCAAATCCTAAGGGATCTTGCAAACTGGTCCCTCAGTCACCAAAATGCCCCTCAACTCTTTTTTTTTTTTTTTGGTGAACATATGGTTTTTGGGGAGAACATAAACTGTGGGGCATTTTGTTAAATGACAGGCCAATTTGTAAAACCCCATAGGATTTGAGGGTCTTATGAGCAATTTCAAAGTTTTGAGGCACTGTCACACTAATATGGAATTATTGAAGATTAGAGGGACTAATATCTAAAAACCTTCTTTGTTAACACTATCATTGCTGCAGATGCAAATGCATTTGTAAGAGATAAAATTAATTTGAACAAAATCTATAAGTAAAAGTTACATAGTATATCCAGTTATAAAGCGAGCGTGAGAACTTAAAACCTAATGAAACTATCTTTTTATATTGGGAAAGATAAGTTTTTTAGCACTATTAACTTTGTTTGTATAAGTTTTATTTTGTTTCAGAAAAATACACGTGCATAATGCACATACTCAAAAAATGTACATTTATTTCATATAGTTTGTATGAAAAATAGAAAATGAACAAATATTTTAAGATGAAAAAATTTTCATGATTTTGCAGTGTTTTCTCTCACTAGCATTCACCTTAAATCCCATGATCCCATCCATGCAATCTCAAGAAAGTTTTTGGAAGTTAAATCTACCATTTTTTAATAATTAAATTTCAGTTGCTTTAATTTTTATAAGGTTTTCTATTAATACATTTCTGTAATGAATGAAAAGGCTTACCGAGTATAATAAAGGTTTATGATAGCGCTTTTCTTTTTTTCTTTTCCTTTCTTTATTTGTGAATGCATTTCTTTTAAAATATGTTGTCATTATCTTAAAACCATCATCGATCTAAAAAAATTTATCATATATGACAATAAGAGAAGTGCTATTGTACTAAAAAATCTATTTCATTAATTTTCGAACAATTTCAAAGAGATGAAACTCTTAATCAAATTACTTCTATTATATCTTACTCTCATCAAATCTTGTCGGATTCGGATCCTCTCCAATTATGTGGTAATTGGAGAAGATCTAATTCCTCTATTCCCTACCATTTCTCTCTAATTCAAAGGATAAGATAATGCCACATAACATTACCCTAATTAAACTAGTGGTTTTGAAATTTATCATGTGGGATTTGGTAAATATTACTTAATTTTTGACAAAATCAAAATATTACTACAAACAACCCTCCAATTAATCTCTCAAATTAGATGTCAACTAAACTAACTCCCTGTCAAATTATTTTTATGTGAAGCCAATAACAAGCTTATATTTCTATCTAGATGAATATTAGTAAATAATTATATGCATTGCACACAGCAACACATATGCTTTCTGCTGTGTGCATGCATTTACCAAAAAAAGGAAAGGAAAAAAATGTGGTGTTGTATACACATTTATAAAAAAATGCTGACACATAATTTAGGATTATAAATATATACAAAGTAATTATAAATAATATAAATTTCAGAGGGAGTTGTCTAGTTGACATTTAATTGGAGACTTGTTTTTATAAATATTTGATTTTGTCAAAAATTAAATAATATCTACCAAATCCACCACTGTAATTTTCAAAACCACTAGTTTAATTAGGGTAATCCTATGTGGCATTATCTTTATCCTTTGAATTAGAGATAAATGGTTAGGATTAGAGGAATTGGACCGTCTCAATTACAACCTAATTGGAGAGGATCCGAATCCAATCTTATCATTCCTTTGTTTGGGGGCGTGCATTTAATGTCCTTCAAACCCACATATTTCCATTATCTATTAGTATATAGTAGTATAGAATCTATAGATATATTAGTATAGATGTACAGAATCTACAGATCACATGCAATCCTTCTGAAGGTATCAGGAGCTGTGTCACATGTCTCAATCAATCAAAACCTGGCAACATATTCACTAAGAGCTTGTCCGGAAACCAAATGCTATACAGTGTTATAAGACGTGCATTATGAATTTGTTGGGTAATATGTAATGCTGAATTGGATTATGTGCAACATAAACCAATTAAGCTGAATTGTCCACAAATCAATTTCTTTAATTATTTACATACATATTAAATGCTGAATTACTCTGGAAAAAAATAGAACAGATATTCCAAAATGTGCACAAACATAGGAAAATAGTTTGTGTGACATAATCCTGTGTAATAAAATAATCATAAGCTTAAACAGCATCAAGTGTTCATATATTTAATAAAATTGTAAACAAACATTAATAACAAATCAAAATGAAAAATCATCATCTCTGTACCTCCCTTTTCATAAGTTGCAATTATTTATGAAAAGTATTTGTTAAACAATTGCTCACTATTTCCAAAAGTCAAAGAGACAATGAATGCCTTCTCTTACAGTAGGGAGAAAGGAGTATGAGGAAAATTGCAATATAAAAAAGTAAAGAGACTGGAAACAAAGATAAAACCACACCATGTCCTACTGCTACTGCACAACCGTCTGAGGGAATGGAAGGGACAGAGAGGTCGTTTCTTTGGACAGAGCAAAAAGGGACTAATGGACCAGTCCACTCTCTTAGATTTCAATTGATAGGTCTAATGGTTTCCAATTGAGTTAAAACGGATAATCAGTCAGCTTTAAAAGACAGTCAGAAAAGCTTAGTTGTCTATGTAACCAGGATAGCAGACCAATCAACCATAAAAAAGCGATAATGCAGCTTGTCGCAAAATTGAAGGTGTACTACACCTGTATACATTCATGCAGCCTTTTTATGAGCTGCATAAACCCTTATACAGTGCTGGTTAAATTTAAGGATTTTGAAGGGAAATGAGCACATTATTCAAATATATTAAATAAATGCGCAATTGCTCCACAGCATTGAAGATAGCTAGAAAGTGCAATATTATAGGCTTATGAATTCCACCATTTCAGAAGTTATGCAATAATATAACTAAAATTCAGAAATATTTCCTTTTATCTTTGAAATTTGAATCATAAAATAACTGCTAGTCTTGCACTTATTTTTCCTTGTGCGCTTTTGTTGACAACAACGGAAGGCTACAAGGAAAAAACTAACTGAAGAAGGCAATCATTTTGAATCATTGTCAAATATTCATGTGGAGGATTTGATACTCCACAATTGATCATTTCAAGTCATTGTCAAATATTTACACATAGGATTCCACAATCCATGATCACAAGATCAAATTCAAAATATGCATAATGGGGTCATCCTTGCTACATTTGTTTCATATAACCATGAAAAACAAACCAATAAACATATATCCAAGAAAATGGATAACCAACAACAGATTCAAGGACGGCATAGAATATCCTTCTACAGCAAGGAAACAAAGGGCCTGTTATGTAACTCCACAAAAGGGGACTAGGATTGATCCTAGTCCTATTTTGGGTAAAAGAGTGTCTGGAAAAAACTGGCCCAATATCCCAGTTTTCCTTTGGCCAAAAAGTGGCCTTGACACTGGTTTTTTTCTTAACAAGCCCCCTCTTGGTTTAGAATAAAACTGAGCTAGGATTGATCCTGACCAAGTTTCGCAAGGGTTGCCAAGCACTCTCAAAGGAAATGGCAGGTTAACTTTGAATATCTCTCATTGTTATATGTCACTACCTACACATCATGATAAGTTTATAACAGCAAATCAATATGCACCACAAATTTCAAGCACCTATACAGAAAAGAGACAAATTAAAAGATTGCAGCCAAAAAAGATGCAAATTGAATAAAAAGATGAATAGGAAAGCTTCACTTCCCTATATTTATTGAGATCACACTGATTCCACATATTTTTGCTACAGACATTAAAAAAAATGAAAGCCTACTCTTTCCATGATTTAGAAATAAACATATGAACAGCACCTGACGAAGACTAAGAGAGCCAGCACGGAATGTTCTTGCAGCAAGAAGCTTCAAATATACTTCTTCAGGAAGAGCTTCCCCAGTTTCATAATGTTTTGCAATGCTCATTAGCGTATCTCTGCCAAAATTACAAACATTACATATTCCATTAACAGTTACCCACATGTGAAAAATATGCGCACCTGATTAATCAAATTCACTATAAAACACAAACATGGGCCCAAATTTAGTTCATGTTTCATCCAGACCCAGAGTTGGAGTTTATAATACCAGAAGTTTAGAGCATAACTCAAGAAGCCTTTAAAAAACCAATTAATGGATTTTCCCTTTCTCTATGTTACATTTTTGTACACTGTCTTGTAGGCTTACTTTGAGAGGGAAACATCCCTGATTTACCTTGCATCAAAAGAAAGAGGGAAAAAAAACTACATTTACAAAGATGCAAATGGCAACCTTCCACTTGGATGTATGTGTTTGTAGGCATGAGCTGCTCAACTGCCAACCATGGGTTTTCACTAACTACAGTTGAAGTGATCAGACATGAGATGCGGTATTTGTCAGTATCAAGAAGTTGTATGGAGGAACCTATCAGTAAATTGTATGGAGAAACCTGCATATTTATTAACATCAATTGTATACTCCCCCCCCCCCCCCCCCCCCCCCCCAAAAAAAAAAAAAAGAACAAAATGTTTTTCAAAATAAAGGCTTTATTTAATGAGATCCTCCTATTCATAAAAAAGTACAAAATTAAACAAACACATGGTAGATGTACATCAGAAGAGAACTAATTAATTTAATATGAAGTAACAATTTCAGATATAACCACTTCATAACAAGAAAATTACTCTCTTTTCATTTTATTTTAAAGTTCAATTTATGTTTCCATCAAACTTGACATTTGCCATTAACTTGAATATCCAATTAACTAACTTGGCAGTATTGTTAGTGCAAAAGCTATCCAGCTTCAATATTTAGCCGTATTTATTCTGTGAGATGCAAGAAAAGTTTAGGACATTCAACCAACAAAGATATCAAACATGGACTAAAATTTCAGAAGAAAGAATTATCAAAGTTACCTCTGATAACACCAATTTTCCATAAATTGAGATGGTAGTTCGACAGCATCCCATTCTATTCCCCGAATTCCAGCTACTAGTCCCTCATCTTGTTTAGTAAGCATATGCTGAAGTGCATGGCCAAATTCATGGAAAACAGTCTCAACCTACATGCATGAACAGCCAGTTTGAGGCTTGGAATAAGTATCTTGTAAGTTAACTCCTAACTAAGTAAACCCGCTCTCCTTCAACAAGAAATTACTGGTAGTAATCTTTAAACACATGGGAGTCTTTTGAACTGGCCTATAGGTCATATAGTGTAGTGACATGTGCTCTTCTTACTTTGCGAATGTCCCTAAAGAACAAAAGAATTTGTACTTTCCAGTTGACATCATTGTCATTTAAGCTTTTTCCCATCAAAATGGTGCAAGCTATGTAGCACAACTCCAGGAAAGATTTGAGAGAAATTTTGCAATTGATCATGAATGAGACAATAACATCACAAAAGATTTGAGATAATGACTGCTTTCGTCATTACTACTTCGATGTTAATCTGGTACCAAGCCTCTAACTCCCTTACCAAGGAAACTATTTACAAGAGAGGGTTCGTAATAATTCTTACGATAGTTGGCAGGTAGGTAAACCTACCTTAAAAACTATCAAGAGTAATAAATATCTAGAATCTATACTCTGGGCTAAGATGATAGTTTATTTAGGAAATCAAATTCTACTCTCAAGGTGAACATACAGCCCAAGAGCACTCTAAAATTCACTTCTTAGCTTTAGAAACAGAGATTGTGAGCATCTAGAGAAGCATGGTATCTTTAGTAAATTAACCATTACAAGTTCCTGCAATGATTACCTCGCGGAAGGTCATGAGACTTGGTTTTCCCCCAACAGGTGGTGTTTGATTGCACACCATGTGTGCAATAGGCAACCTAACAGAGGAACCATCATGCGCAAGTACACGGCTGCGAGCGAAAACTTCATCCATCCATGCCCCACCACGTTTCTCAGACGGCCTTGAATAAGGGTCGAAGTAGAAATAGGCAATTGGGCTGCCTGAAGAATCTTTGACACAATAAAATCTGACATCAGGATTCCAAACCTGCAAAGGAAAAGAAAATATATATGATGGAGAGTCCACATGTACCGGTTCCAAATGTTCTAGAAAAGGACAATAAGAATGAGAGTCCTCACAGGAGCCAAGCCATCAACTGGTTCAATGGTTATCTGGAAAAGTTTATTTGCTAAGTTAAAAAGGCCATCCATAACCTTAGGTAACGAAAAGAAGGGGCGCAGTTCCTCCTGCAAGGTGACATTCCGAGAAAAAAAGAACCAGGTAAATATGTTATTTTCATGGGACCTTTATGAGCTCCATTGTAACTTATTTCATGACTAAGGATTTTTTGGGAAAGAAAATACTTAAATAAAAAAATTGATTGCTTTATTATATGTTCATTATTTTAACTTAAATCGCAGCACAACATTCAGATCAAAACGATCGCAAATAAGACAGAACAGTCTGGTGCTTGCATATAATAGATGTAATTAATATATAGAAACGATTTAACCAAACTTGAAATCATAGGCCATTCAACCTCATTGATGTCATACTTCGCCTCCCGAAGTCTTTCACTCCAAAAATTAATGTCCCAGTGAGTCAGTTCATTGGCTTCTGCAGCTTTCTTTTCTCCGGCAAATGTCTTAAGATCTTCCATATCTACATAAACAGAAATGACAAGTTATATGATTTTCCTAACCACAAGGAAAAAAAACCTTATTGATAGAATTAACTGGTAGAATTAAGAATTACAAAAAATAACCACCTAAAGCAGCTTCTTCATCTTCTTCTTTTAACTATTTGAAAAGATTTAAAACCACAAGCGTGGAATATAACAGTTACACCTTAACAAGCTATGGCATATAGCAACTACATAGGTCTAGAATTTAGCAACAATATTACTTTGGTTAAAAACAAAGTATCTCTTAAACCTAGAGAGTAGGCATTTATCCTAACCCCGTGTCTTTGGTCTTACCACAGGAGCTCTTCATGTAAGTTAGTTTTCATAACTATGAATAGCTTATAAAAGAAAAAATTAGTAAGTTGTTAACATGAATGACAAAACATCCCGAGCGACTTCAAGTATCTTCATCTTGATGTCATATTATGACATTATTATGAGCTGTCTGAGAATATGACTTGGTTAGAGATACATCAATCATTTAACATAGCAGTTCTGGACCACCACAGATTCAAAAAAGTTGTACACATCTCCTGAATGTGCATTGGAGATAGTTTATTCCCCAATTCTTATCCCGCATTGTTAGAGATGCATGTATTTGCAAGCATGCTATTGGATTCATCCCCTGCCAGCCTATACCTATAGAGAATTAGAGATTGTTATCACCACCTATGTGAGGCTGCACATGTTATCCAATGAATAGCACCATATGAACTTCACAGCATGTTATATGTGGCAGAATGGAGCAGTCATTCAATACTGTGAAAGTGCCCGCCTGACTTGCTAGGAAGTCCTGATTTAGCTAGTTAACTAACATGTGATAAAGCATGTGTAGAAAACTATAGTAAAGCAAATCAAGTAAATATTCTAGGTCTTCTTCAGATTGTTAACTGACAAAAAAAAATGGAAATCTGTACCTTTACCATGTGATTTCATTCAGTTAAAATGTTAAAACAGATAAATTAAAACAAAGAATTACTTTCAATTAGCAGTTCTATATAAATTTACATGTCACTATAAATAAACTTTGTCTGACCTATACTAAGATCCTAGCTCACTGATCGACCTCAATCTATTGGTGCATATCTGTATTTTGTTTGTAAGGGGGAAAGAGAAAGGGATCAGACTCAGCAACAAATTCTAGTTGCATAATATTTTAGAAAATTATTTTTACAGAATGACGTTTTCACTAGCAAAATATCAGTAGCATAGACATCAATACTACCATCTAGGAGGAGACTTGCAAGCTTACAATAATCTTATCTTACCTTATATCTTATACAATTCTAAAAGTGTGAAGGGTATTACACTTTTTTCCAAAAATACCCTTCAACTTGCATGTATGATTATAAAAGTGTCTTTTGTACAATAATGGGTATCAACGTAATTTTGTTTCTTGATGGTAAAACATAAACATGCATGAGGTCTACATACATAATATATTAATGAATCTTTATGATAACATTTATACTTATAACTTACATATATATAATGATGATTATATATTTATATCTAGTTCTCATTAACCTTGCACCACTATCTCCATTTAATAACATCCAATTAAATCATCCACCCCTCTTACCTTTCCACCATCATAACCCCCATCTCTTTGAGTACTATAAAAAGTTCATAATCTCCAAGCTAGCAGAAACACTATAGCATTTGCTTCTCTACTATTATACTATAAAAAAGTCATCCATCTTCTTATATTTTTTCTAAGTTATGCTTGCACCATAAATGTGTGCCGCTTCTTGGGACGTAATTTTCTTTCTACCGTGTATTTGATTGGAGTTGTTTTTCATAGCATCTAACCAAAGCATCTATTATGTCGAGTGGAATCTTCCCATGAGGAAGCAGTTCTATCATCATCATCATCATCCATTATTTGTTCTTTAATAGAATGCATGCACATAACTTATATCAACAGTGCCTCTGTATCAAGAAATTTTCTGTAGTGTATTTGCCTATGGAGTTGCTTCACATCACGGGTACAAACGGTTACTGCATTACTTTATATCAAGTGAAAGTGTTCAGAAAGAATCAAGGTTAATACCATTTTTATTTTTTGAAGTTTTTCCTATAATTCCAGCACATCTCTTATGTCAACAGGTGCCTCTTTTTGGAAAGCATTTTTATTGGGGAACAATTTTCTATCAGCCGTGCAATTGACTCTGTAGTTGCTTTACATTGCAGGTACAAAGAACCAAAGATGAAATGAAATCTCTCCATATGAAGCAATATTCTATCAGTGCATTTATCCCATCTACTTCACTCTTATGTAAGCTTGGTACTCTTGTAAGATTGTACCTATTTCCAAAAACCCATAGACTTGAACCATCTACTAAGATGATTTCTACGGATCTCCATCTCTTCTTTTTCACCTTCATTCTTTCAGGTAACACAATTCCAATGGCGGATCTGGCCAAGCACAATCCCAGTGATAGATCTGGCCAAGCAATTAAACTTGAGTACATGTGTATCTTTCGAGTATCTTGATTGCGATTCAACAATTGACTAATAAATTCATGCGGATTCTTTTAGAAAATTAGTTTTTGGAATTTATGGGACTTGAAGAAAATATATTGAAACAAGTTTCATTGTAAAAATGAGACTGGACTTGAAGAAAATATATCGAAACAAGTTTCATGGTGAAAATGAGTTTTTGGAATTTATTGGACTTGAAGAAAATATATTGAACCAAGTTTCATGGTGTAAATTTTACGTGGAATCAAACTCTACCACATATCATATGCGTGCACATTTCTTAGAACTTAACGTTAGACTATGTACAAATTATATAATATATTTTATTCAAACTATATAGCTAAATTCTATGATATAACTAGATAGTTTAAATATATTTTCAAACAAGATAATAAACCATATAATAAATATATAGATTCTATATAAAAATTATAAAATGATATGCAAAATAAATATATTTATATGTTTATAGGCTATAACATTTAAATTATTACTATATTCCATATGCACACTGGTAAATAAATTTTCAAACATAGTGATTGTGTTCTAGATATTAAACTATATGAACAAGTTTGAATATTTCGCAGAATAAGTGCATGGCAATGAATATCAATCCCTTCATATTGCATCAAAAATTATCATATTGCCCTCAAAATGCATTCAAATTCTCATTCACTTCATCCACTATCATATCCTATACAAATGCTATGAATTCATTATTAATGGTTATCAGGATCTACATAAACAAGGAATTCACTTCATGATAATAGAATTAGTACAACAATATCTACACGATTAACTAATTTCATACTACATAAACATTTTATTCATTTCTAAAATGTTACCATGTATTATATGAGAGTAATTAAAGCATTAGTATGAGACTAATTCTTTTCACCTCCCTCATCTTTCAATTGAAAACTCTCTTCACCTCCTCCATCTCATAACAGAAACAAGCTTTCATCCATCTATAAATTGCCCTCTTTCTCATCTCCCTCATCTACAAATCTCTCTATCATCAAAATCCAAAAATAAAAATAAAAAATAAAAAAATTCTCCTCTAAAACTTCTGATCTCTTCTTTTCATACTCTCTTTCATCTCCCCTATCATTATTGCTCAGGACCTCCTCCCAACAAATGCAAACTCCCTCCAATTCTGCTTTCTACCATCCTTAAGGACAAGGATGATGGCTTTGTGGGTTGCGGGAGCGTGATAATGCAACTCCAATCATGATGTGATAAGAGCATCCTACTCTTTGTATGACAAATAGCACCTCAGTCTCGAACGTTGCATAGCAGTCTAACAATTGTGTATTTAGTATCGATGCTCGACTTCGCCAAATTTACGACTAAGGAATGGGATTTCCTTGATGTCTTTTTTGATTTCCTTAAAAAGTGTTTTCCGATTTCCTTAAAAGTGTTTTCTTATGCCGGCCGCTGGGGGGGTGAACTTAATTATATCATTAGCAATGTTTTACTCAAATTATATAATTTGTACCCAAATTATGTAGTTGATTATATTCAATTCCGTTTAGTCCAATAAGTTTTCAAAATTACGAACTTCATCTCACAATTCAGTCCTAATGTTTTCAAAATATTATGACACTACTACATTGAAGTTCTGCTCCAATGATTGTAACTTTTGAGGAAAAAGCATGATCCCAACAGTTGTACTAATGCAAGGGAGTCCTCAAAATTCTTTAAAAATAAAAAGAACCACAGAATTCCAAATTTTGCAGCATACTCCTTTAGCAATTTCCATAATTGCTGAACAATCTTAGTAAGCCCAGAAATTCATGAAACAGTTACAAATTACAAAATTTACAAAACAGTGTAATTAAATCCAACAATTTACGAAGCAAGTCTAATAAAGCCCAAAATTATAAACAAGCCTAAGAAAATCCAGAAATTATGAAACAGTCATTGTAAATTACTTTTAACTAGCATCAATATTTTTAACTAATACTTTTATTAAATATTAAAATTTTTATTAATATTTACATTTCAATCTATGTCTTTATTCTTTGTTTTTTCAATATGATCCAAAAATTATGTACTTTCCCTTAAAATATCAGTTTTAAGTATTAATATTAACTTAAAAGAATGTATGCTTAGCTTTAAGACAATTTTTCTTCTCACAAAAAAACGTTTAAGACAATTTTTCTAAAACCTATCTAATTTATTACTTTCCCATAATTAAAACAACGCTATAAATTCATTTTATGAGAAAACATGCAATGCACGTGCACTATGCTAGTATTGATAAAAACATTAGCAAAGTAATACCTTGTACTGCAGGGTTCCAAGAAGCGCTTCTTAGTTTTTCGAGAAGCTCTTCTGCTGAACTTATTGTAGCCATTTTCATTGCCATGCTTACCTTCAGTGAAGAAGATTCTTTCAGCCATAGTTAAGAAAAATTCAACCATATAGTGAAAGAACATACCTCCGCATAATTAGTATAGCCAAGAAGTTTAGCTTTCTCCAACCTAAGTTTTAGAATTTTATCAATGATAAGAGTATTATCGAGATCTTCACTAGATGCACGGGAAACATAAGCACGATAAACTTCTTCGCGCAATGATCGGTTTTGCACATGCTGCATGACTGGAACAAAGCTTGGAGCATCTAGTGTGATCACCCAAGGTCCATCTTCAGCTGAAGCATTTTCATGACCCTTTCGAAATAGAGAATAGCATAGAACTTAATAAAAACACAAAAAAGATATCGGTACATAAACTGCATAATAAGTAATAAATTTCATTTAGAATGCTTAAGAACTAAGCAGACATACTTTGGATACAGCTGTTTGTGCAGCAAGACCACGGGCTGTGGCAGGTAAACCTTCAATTTCTTTCTTGTCTGTGATTAGCTTTTCAAATTTCTTGGTAGCATCCAAGACATTTTCACTGAACTTCTGTGATAATTTTTCAAGTTCCTGCAAAAAATCCTCAAGTGAATAGATGAAAAGTGGAATAGGAAGATGATATATTCATGACCCTTTCAAGTTCCTTTCACATGCATGCACCATGTAATTTCGAGGAGAGGTTTCTATACGTAATTATGATAAATTTCCCTTCCTACATGTACCATTATTTTCTGATACTTTTAACCATAACTGGTTTTAGACAAAAAAAAAATCTCCAACTCGCTAGATTCCAATAACAAAAGGTATGTCTTGGTACTTGCTAACTGTGCTTTCTTAGGAAATGAGTACACTAATGATATCAGCTTGCCAACTGCCAAATCAGCATGATGAACTAGATCCAAGAATGAGAGTTTAAAAACTAAATTTTGGTCTTGACTGCAGTACACTAATAAAGATGAGAAACATTTAAGGAAATCATTAGGGTGACACATACCTGTTCAATTTCATTAAATTTCTCTCTTTTTTCATCCTCAAGAGCCACACCATTAAGAACAGCTTCCTTAATCTGGGCTGTAAAAAAGGTACATAAATGTTGAAATTATGAGAAACAATAGTTTACAGCAGAAAATGATTGTCTAACTAATAAATACAAAATGCTTAAACAAAAAGATAACACGCACCTTATAACAATCAATAAAACATTATCAACAACAACATCATATATTCTACACCATATTTTAAACAGCAAAGCATTTTATTACATGGTTCTGCATTTTCAATTAAGGTAATTGTGGCATGCTGTTCCCAAGTACTTTTATCCACCCACCTTTCAACCACCAAGAAATAAATCATCAGTACAGTAACAGCTGAAATTCACTGGAATACGCTCTTTTTAACAGCTGAAATTCACTGGAATACGCTCTTTTTCACCCTGCTTCCAGGCACCTCTGACTCCTACAAGACCCCACAAACTTCATGAAAGATTTTCTGCTACTGCTTCTATTCATTTTAAACTCCAATATAAGCACACCACCCGATAGTTTATCTAATATGTTTGTAGCTTTATGTTCCATGGGAAAATATCAATATTCAGATGCTTCAAAATCTTTCCATAGAATATGACATTTGATAATTAATGGCTAATTCTGTTCTTCACAGCAACAAACAAAAAACAAAAAAAACTGAAGTAGGGTAGAGCTGGATTTGAATCATGACCAAGTTGATGGAACGAATGACTTAGTGAACAACTATTTTCAATGAATATCTCTTCATCCAACGTATTTGAGTTCGGGTTGAGGCAAACATGGTGAGCTTTGCTGATGAATATAGTTCAGACAAGGGTATTGTTTCCTTTTTCGCTTGGCCTCAACCCAGATCACAATATTACTATGAAATCCGAAGATGCCCCAAATATCCGAACTAGGTTTCCTGTATTAACAATATCCTTATACCCAGATCACAATATTACTGTGAAATTCGGAGATGACCCAAATATCAGATCTAGGTTTCCTGTATTAACAATATCCTTGTACCCATCTCAAGCCAGAACTGAATTTTCAATGTTCTTGTCTATAGCACGATGGTGTTGGGCAACTACGTAGCATGTACACTTCAACCAAGAAGACATGCATATCTTGAAAGCATAGGTCATAGGTGACACTTGCTATGACAACACATGGTGTGCGTTAGACAGTCATTTTGGCATTATCCTAAAATTTGAACCATATCTTAGACGTATTAGGGGCATCACATATGTGAGATCAAGGCATTAAAACCTTATGTTTGGATAATGGGTTCACAATTATTATATGTGGATGCACTTTTTTTATGTAATTTCTTCTTCTTTTTTTAATGTGTTAGTGAAAATTTATTCAGACTTTTTACCAATAATATGACTATTCATGTACCACTAAATTATGCTCTTCTAATCAGTCTAGTCTTACAAACTCATGCACATACATTTATAATTTTCTCATAGTTGTAACATGATGTATATGCATGCTTGTGATGCATTATATATGTCTATCGCATAATCACATTCATCCCAATACATGATACATATAATTTCACTGGTACCCTTGTCTTCTATCCTATATCTATCTCATATCAAGATATGTGTTTTGTTGGAGACACTTCACAATTGGTTAAAAAGATAATAGAAAATCTTGATTCAGTATGGCCGTATCTATAACATCTTTATACAATTAATTGGCAGGAAAAAAACCTTTTAACACAAAGTATTCGGCTACCTGTCTTCCTTCACGCTAATTATATTTTATTAGATAAAATCTATTAAAACATTAGCAACACCACATGAGGCCAGATCTCATGACCTTATTTATTAAGCTGTCCTTTTCTGAATCCTATACGTATCCACTTCAATGTATCCATATCATATATCTATCTACACTTTATCAGATATGACAATAATATTCATGACTGCTAAAGAACCAAGTCACGAGAACAAACTTAACATAAAAATAGATACATACAAACAAGTTATATCTGCTCTGCTTACACACTATCAGAAAGAGTTCACAATGTTTCAATAGGTGAATTAGAGAGAGAGAGAGAGAGAGAGACAGAGAGAGAATAAAACTTCTGTATCTAACTAAAGAATTTCCAATCATACAAAAAGATTAGCCTTCATGAATTTCAATAAAGCTTGTATGTGCTCTGCTAATGATCAGTAGTTTCTTTTACTTGCTATCTGAAGAACTAAATAAAATTTAATTTTCCAAAATTGTAGTTACATGGAAAAGCTGGGTGTTGTATGGCACATTTTTTTTGTAAAAGCAGGTCAATAAAATCATGTAAAACAACCAGGCCAAAGGCATTGACTTTACCTTCTACTATACGTTTGCGGGCTTCGGTAAGATTTGACCAAGATGGAGAATCTTGAATAGCCTTGAACGCTTCATAAATGGGCTTACTTTGTCCCAGTCTAAGCTGGAATTTAACCTTCTCAGGCTGTTAAGGAAAGAATGTTACCCTAGCGTTAAAGAAATCTAGATGAAGAAGCAAATTGAAACAACTTCTCAAAAATCATTCCAAAGACAACATAGCACTTAGTCAACTGACAAAAATCCATAGTAACTTTATGTTAGAGGTTATTGCTCAATAGGGAGCAAAATTGACCCGCGATGCAGCGGCACTTGTTTGAAGAAAGTCACATTAAATAATTATTTAAGCATCTGTTTCAAAAATATATTGTACACTTAACCACTTAGAATAGCAAGTTACACCCAAATATAATAACTTACCCCCTATACCGATACTACAGAATATAAAGTAAATTTAAAATTAAATTGAATATTACAGGTCTAAGAGTATTTTGGAAGCGGGTGGGTTCGAAAATATATAGGGGTAAAACGCTGGTTCATAGACAAGTAATTATTTTTAGAAGTTGTAAAACTAAATACGGGGAAATTTTCGAGTTTAAAAGTCATCTAAAGTTTTTGATGATGCATCATTGGTTTAAAAACAGGCAATAAAATGATTATTTTAAGTATTCCTTTCTGGTAGTGGGTGCGTTTAAAAATAAATTGGAAGTGGTTAAGTTTAAAAAATAAATGGGGGTAAAACTTTGGGTTCATAGACAAAAAGCTCTTTTTGGAAGTTGGCGGGTCTAAAAATAAATCGGGATAGAACTTTGAGCTTATAGTCAAAAGATTCTTTAAAAGTGGTGGGCTCAAAAATAAATTGGGTTAGAACTTTGGGCTTATAGACAGAAAACCCATAGTAAATTTTTGGAAGAGGGTGGATTTGAAAAGTACGGGGAGTAAAGTTTTGGGTTTATAGGCCAAAACTCATGGGTGGGTTTAAAAATAAATTGAGGAAAGACTTTGGGCTTAAAGTTAAAAAATCATAAAATCATAAAATTACAATATCATGGTCGTGCTAAGGATTGAACACTGTACCTCTTGTTTCTAAACGTAGAGTCATTTTAATGGGCTATTTTTTCTTGTAGTTATAATTCACTCTTTTCATGTCATAAAGTTTTTTGAGGGCTAAGCACTGTTCATCCCATCAACTTGTATGTAGTATAATATAATATCTCAGACCTTCTTATGACATCATTTAAAACTTAAATGGTATGTCAGAATCCCATTCTTAAAGATCTGATGGTATGGCTTGAAACATAGGTGAGCATACAAAGTTTTAACTATATTTTGCATTTGATTTTTATACCCATGGTTTCCAAACAATAAATAAAGAAGAATAAATAAATATTATCAATGCAAGAATCTTAGCAGTTAGAATCTAAATGTGTGGCTGAAAATTTGTGGCCTCTTTGAAGTATAGGTGATCATTCGCATAGGGATTTTAAATTTTATAGGATATTATCACTTTCAAATTATTTGAATAACAGAAGTCTTTCTCAACAAGTGTCCACCTCGAAGATCCTGGAAATTCATATGATCAAAGACTTCACCACGGAATAAACTCAAGAAACAGACATAAAACTGCAGCAATATAAGGGAAAATTACACTAAATGCCTCCATCTGAAAGTATGCTGAATATTGAGCATGAACCCTTGTCAGAAAATGAATTTTTTTTATTAATAGGTACAAACAGTTCTTGAAGAATATGATCTTAATTTCACCAATGCTCTTGTAAGAAAATTAAGAAGAATCAAGAATGCAGAAGTACTGCACTTAAAATGCACTATATGAAACATGCAGAAGCACGTCACTTAAAATGCACTTTTAATAACAACCGTAGAGCAATAATCCATTAAAAGCATAGCCACGAGAATGATATAGAAAGATTCAGCATGAAAGACCAAGTGTAACATAATAGTTCACAATATAAATAACGATCATACAGTAAAAAATCTCACAAGGATAGTATTTAAAAACACATCAAACATAAATGCAGCTCCTTTATACTAGAAAATAGATAAAGAAATAGATAAAGGCCAAAAGGAACTTTAAACATTTGTTTAAGCTGAGAGTGATCAATACATGATATACCAAAAGATTTAACATTTAAGAGTCCATGGGGTATAGAATCTCAAATATCATAATAATAAGACCATCCAATTTACATCCAAAGACAGAATATCCTATTTTCATGTAAAACGTCAAATAGGAGATGGGAAAAGTTAGCTGTAAACATTTGTTAGGATCAGAAAAGGATCTTATTAATAAAAAGCTTTAAAGATAAATTTTTCATGCGAGTGTCAATTAAGTAACAACATCTAGAATCTAGTTAACGAAAAGTAGCTTTAAACATTAGTTTAAGTTGAAGATGCTCAGATTACAACATAACATCACTAGATTTAACATCTAAAGGTGACTGGAATATAGAATCTCAACAAGTATTTATAAATTAAAAAAAAACTTTTTTTAATCTAACTATTAACAAAAACATCATCAGCAACAACACTACATATTCATCTTCCGACGTTATCCAAATGTCAACACTTTCTACCTGAACTTCTTCAATCGCAGTCCTAAGCTCGGCCGAATCCTTAACCGCCTTCAAATGATTCACAATCCCCCAAACAACCTGCAACCGATCAACAATCCTCTCCAAAGGCTCAACCAGCTTCGTCCACGTCGGCTCCACCGTGTTCTCCAACTCAATCAGATCCCCTTCCTGCATCCAAATCCCCAACAAAACCGATCAAAACCTCAAAACCACAACCCTAACCCTAACCCTACTCTTACCAGTTTCTTCAGCAGCGATCGGATCCCCGGCCGCACGTGCCAGCGTCGAATGGTGGGAAAGTGAAATCTTGTAACAGAGGGTTCGAGGCGGCGGTGCTGGCGTCATCGCCGGTGGTCATGGTGGCGGAGAAGAACCTGGTGGTGGTGGTGGATTTGTGAGGGCCGCGATGGAGAGAGAGGGAGGAGGAGATGAGGGGATAGAGGAGGTACTTGGGGAATCGTTTGGGGGTAAAAATGGAAGTTGAAGAGTAAGCGAGATCTGGGACGGAAACGAGGCGACGGAGCAACTAAGAGGTTGACGGCAATGATTGATCACGAGGTCGACGGCCGACGCTCCTCCGCCGACGCCAACAACACCAACCGCGGTTCTAAGATGCTGAAGAGGTTCAACGTCGGTGCTGATCCGCTCCCGGTGGCGTGTTGAAAAGGAGAAAATGAGGAGAGAGAGATAGGGGTTTATATGGGGGCTAAAAGGGGTATTTTGGGTTTTTACCTTGATTTTGTATAAATACAAGTGCTGAAAGTATTGTATTTTGAAAATTGGGTTTAAAGACAAATACAAAAAGAGAATTGGGCTTAAAGATACAAGTAATAATGTATGGGTTTAAAAATAAAGTGGAGTAAACAAATGGGCCTAAAGACAAAAACCCCTTAAAATATTTATGTACAAATCATATAATTGAATCTACTTCGAGCTCAAATTACTATGTCTAAGACTAATGTCGATCATCTAACATAACAATCATATCCATAGACTTTGATCCGAGAAAATTTACATCTTTATTTGTTTATTTATTTTAGCCATATGACATACTTAATATATATATATATATATATATATATATATATACTAGTTTTTACACACGTGCAATGCACGTGATTTAATACCATGATTAAGTATTTTTGACAGTTTGTGCTCATTTTTTTCTTTAAACTCTTACATCTCGATTATTTTTTTATGTTTGTTTAAATGTGATACATCCAATTTAAATTTTCATGTTGATATTTGAATTGACAAAAAAAAATATAATTTAAAAATAATTTGAATTTTTATATTATTTTTGACCGATATGAAACTAAGCTTTATTTGAGAAAGTATAGCATTGCAAAGTAAAAAATATTAAAATAGTGTTATACAAGGAAGGTGAATATTTAAAACCAATATGACAAAATGATTGATTTAAAGTATGTTAAAACGATGCAAAAGAGAATATGAAGTTTATTCCTAATCATTGATAGACTTCATAAAAAAATATAAATTAAAGATTAATGCTAACTCTAGTATACTTTTATATGATAAAAACATCCACATAAGAATATAAAAGTACTGAAAAAAATTCATGAAACTCCCTTCTAAAGATTCCTAATTTCACTCAAAATAATTAAACTATTCTATAAAATATTCATAAAATATTGTTTTTATTTCTTCTATTTTATTTTTTATTGAGTTAAGATCAATCCTTCTTCAGGTTTATCATTTATCATTTCTCGGACAATTCTAGAGTATTGTCTTCATCATCTACATCAATTGTGACATCAGGCTAATTTTGTAATTTTTATGCTATTATCTTTCCTAGGCTCGTTAATTTTGTATCATCTTATTTAACTTTACAAAGAAGTCAAATGTACTTATGATGTTCAACACAAACTGCTCAAAATATAGACTTTGATTTTTTTTTCCTATTTCAATGAGAATAAATATTAATTTCATATATATAAAATTCTTTGTGTTCCTAATTTATTACAATAAATTAGAAGCTATCTCTTTATTTTCCTCTAAATAAATTCTTCTGATGTGCATCCAATAATAATTTCTGTTATTTCAATAATATTATCTTTGCTCTATCCCTGTCATGTTCCATAAAGATCTAAACTAAATACCTGCATTATTCATTACCAATTTCTCTTAGATTATAATATTAATATTTAATTTGAAGAACACAGTATGGAATTTATGAATACTTACTAATTTTTCTTATGTCTTCCATGGAGATTTTTTCTTTGATTAGGGTAAAGTTATTAAATTATTTTTTAATATAACTCATTCAATGCTTCATTAATAGATATGTCTTATGTTAATGCCAATTCAAGTGATTCGTTGATGTTTTCTGAATTTTAGATTTATTTTCATCACTTTCCCATTTGCAATGGAAATAACTCAATTCTTTTAAAGTTATCTCTAAATATTCTAATAGTTTCTCCATATGTAATTCCTTGTATTCTTTTACCCTATAAATATTATTAACGTCAAAGATTAAAGTTTCTAAATTAAAATCAATTAATGCTAAGGTATAATATTATAGTGTTTTATCATTTCTATGGATTTAAACATCTATCAATTAATGTTACGAATGTATTTTGGCTACCCCAACTTATTACTAAAATTATATGAAATTACTTTAATTTATATAGTGCCGGTAATTTTTAATCTATAATATTTTTAAAAATTTTATCCATTAACCGGATGTTTTTAATCAATTTTTATTGTTTTTGTTTACCAGTATCAACTTAGACTATTCTTAGATGCTGAAAATGGATAGTAAATCCCTAAATTAGAAATTTTAATATATATATATATATATATATATATATATATATATATATATATATATATATATATATATATATATATATATATATATATATATATATATATATATATATATATATATATATATATATATATATATATATATATATATATATAT